AAGTGGCGTTTGCCCTCATGATTTGGAGACATTATCTATACGGGGTCCGTTTTACCGTCTACATGGATCACAATAGTTTGCGGTATCTTATGGACTAGTCGAACCTGACCATGAGGTAGTGCATGTGGCTGGACATGGTCAAGGATTATGATTGCAAGATCCTTTACCATCATTGTAAAGCGAATGTGGTAGCAGCTACCTTGAGCCACAAGTCAGTTAGATCTTCAGCGGGAGAGATGTGTACGAGGATATCCATGATTCCCCACTTTTATATTTGATCATGTTTGTTACCGATAACCCGGGGTTATTGACCCGGTGTGGTTGGGTTTGGGTTCCAGTTTCGGGTGGGATCAGGTAGATAGTGGTAAAGGAGGCTCATAATTATCGCTTTTCTATACACCCAAAATGTTGGTCAATGTGTATGTTCGGGAGATTGTTGCTCGTCACAGGGTTCCGGTCTCCATTGTATCAAACCGAGATGTTTGATTCACTTCCCGATTCTGGAATAAATTCCACAAGGAACTGGGTAGGAGACTACATTTCAACACTGTTTATCATCCGTAGACCGACGTATAAAGTGAGCGGACCATCTAGACACTTGAAGACATGTTCCAGGCGTGTATCATAGATTTTGGTGGGAGTTGGGATTCCTACCTACCCCTTGCAGAGTTTTCCTACTACAACAATTATCACTCCAGAATTGGTGCACCACCTTATGAGCTTTTATATGGTCGGAGATGGCATACCCCAGTTTGTTAGGGCGAGGTTAGTCACTGAGTCATGGGAAGGACTGAAGTAGTCCTTCATACCATGGAGCTTATTCGGCAGATCAGGCAGAGACTGCAGACAACTCAGAGTCGGCATAATAGTTATGTCGACCTTCACCGATCGGAGTTGGAGTTTCAGGTTGGCGGTATGGTGATACTAAATGTCTCACCCTGTAAGGGTGTGATACGCTTCAAGAAGAGGGGGAAATTGGCTCCCCGGACCTTTCCGTGTGATCGCTAGGGTATGCACGGTAGCCTACCAGTTGGATTCGCCGAGTGATCTCAGTTAGATCCACAACACCTTCCATGTTTTGCAGTTATGTAAGTGCATGTTGGACAATGAGGTGGTGGTCCCATTGGATGTTATTCATGTCGATGAATGTCTGAATTATATTGAGAGGCCGGTTGTGATAGTAAAGAGGAAGATGAAGATTATGCGCAACAAGGAGATACCTTTGGTAAAGGTTCAGTGACAACATCGTAAAGGCTTCGAGTGGACCTGCAAGCCGTAGGTAGAGATGCAGGAGCAATATCCTGAGTTTTTTTGCGACGATCGACTTTGAGGACAAAGTCTAGTTAAAGTAGGGGAGATTTTTAACATTTCAATGTTAAGGTATTTTCAATTTTAACATTGAATGAATAAATATTGAACTTTAGTCCCTGAGTATTAAAAAGAGTGCAAAATGGCTCATAGTGTCATTTTGGTAATTTTGGACATTTTGGTAGTACGCTGGGCGTACACCTCGTACGCGGGGCGTATGTGAAGGAAGTGAAAACCCTAAATTTTAGGTTTTGGTCCATATATTTACACCATAGCCTCATTTCTCATTACTTTATCAGCCTCCCTTTGTGAAAAACGACCCCAAGCAACCCCTAAGTGAGAAGAGTGCATTTTGAGCCATTGGAGTGTTTTGGAGGTGTTCTGGAAGAAGAAGAAGAAGGTAGTAGGAAGAGCTTTGAGATTGGAAGCATTTTGGATATGATATTATCTTCCTGTTAGTAACCTTTAGGTGGTATAAAGTTCACAACGTGATCACTACATATTGTAGATCTAGACATTCCTTCCTTTAAGAATCTTTTTGTCCCAAATATGGTGATTCTTGAGCATAACATGTTCCTGACCTAAAAAGTTGTCCTTTCAAACCTTAGGAGGGGTCTTAAGTCATAAAAATGTGGTCTTGATGGTTAGTTTTGCTCCATGCATGTTATAGAAGATCTTAAGGCATTTAGATATTAAGATTTTGTGTATCAAGCACTTAATGATCATGTAAAGTCATAAACGGTCTTCTTCTCGTTCCAAACATTTTTCTCTTCTATCTCCTTCCAAAAATGCACTAGAACAAAAGATCTTTAGCCTCTCTCTCTCTCTCTCTCTATATATATATATATATATATATATATATATATATATATATATATATATATATATATATATATATATATATCTCACAACGACTACAACTCGTCTAGGGTTTCTCTTAGTGTGTCTAAATGATCATGAAGGAGGAAATGAGGGCTTAAGGTCCTTTAAATATGACACAAACCCGAAAAATTAGGGTTTCACTACATATACTCAACTCGTCGAATCCATCCCTTCGACTCGACGAGTAGGCTTCATATCCCGAGTGGCCAGCTCAACTGCTACACGACGAGTCAGGACCAACCAACTCGTCGAGTAGGTGCTACAATGTGCATTATAACTCTCAAGTTTCACATCTAGGATTCAGGGTGTTACAAATGCCAACCCATGGTTTCTTATTTAGGGTGCTAGATGTCCGCGTGACTCTTGCATGTGTATGTGCTTGTATGCTTACTAGGCAGGGACCAATGGTTATTCTGTATGCTAGTATCTGACTATGTGTATATGATTTGTATGTGGGCAGGGCCCGTTATACTCATTGGGTGGGGCCCGTTATGCGAAGTAGGGCGGGGCCTGTGATACTCATTGGGCTGGGCCCGTTATGCGAGTTAGAGCGGGGCCCGTTATGTGTTATATATATATATATATATATATATATATATATATATATATATATATATATATATATATATATATATAAGTTTTATGGTTATTTTGAATTATTTTTTTCCACTTGTCATTTTATGAGTTTTTCTATTTTATTAAATTTCACATAATATTTTAAGGTAATAATTGCAATTAATGTAGTAATAAAATGATATTAGTTTCAATAATGAACTTACCTTTTAAATTCAAAATTATCAAAATTAAAACTCATTAGTTTATTTTATTTATTTAAATTATTTTTTTTAATTTAAAAAATAAAAAAACATTTCTGTTATAATAACTTATTGTTTTTTATTCTTTTCTTATAAATTTAAAGTTGTTAAATATTTCGATATTTATTTTTTATTTTAATTTTTTTAAATTAACTCATGTAATACAGTGTTTTGTATCATGACATAGTATTTTTCAAAAGTATTTACAAATCTATTGTAGTTTCAAACATAATTACTAAAATATGGTATTTTGGTATTTATCGCTATTTAATTTAGGTGAAATGTAAGTATATATCGTATGTCTTTCTATAATTAAATTACTTACAATTTAGAATATTTTAGAATAAAAAATTGCAATAGATAATATCTATCGACAATTAATTTTACATATTAATTATTTTAATTTATTTTTATTATATAAATTAGAAAGAAAAATCATATCCTTATTAGATTATTTTTTGTTGTTTAAACCGTTCATAGGTTTGCTCGAGTAAAAAAAAATCACATAAAGTTGTTAAAAACATTTTTAAAGCTAAATCAAGTTACAAATATTAAAGAGATTATTTTTTTAATCATTTTACTATAAATCATACATTATATTTTTTGACAAAATAACATCTGGTTTCTATTTACACCATAATCATATTTTCCTTTGCCATTGTAATCTTATTTCAAATTTAGTTTTTTGTTTACAATTTTGTTTGTATTTCCATCACTAATGGTTGCAAAACAAGTAACGTCAATAGCAAAAGCTAGTGTAACTACCCTCAAATCTTACATCAAAAAATTGATGGAAAAGAATATTGGAGATGGTTACTTCAAAAGACAAAAATATGCAAGTAGTTGAATTGAAGAAAAAAAACTTACATGCATAGTAAGTGAGATGTGTATAAATGGTTGTCCATAATACACACATAAAAAATAACATCTTTTAAACCTAAATCAAAAAGTTAAAGTTTGTTGGATTTTAATGACATTAACACTTGATCACTATTTTAGTTTTGTTATTTTTTTATATATGCTTTTATTCAAAAATGTTAGAAAACAAAAAATCAGATGTTATTTTATCAAAAATTAATTGGACGTTTACAATAAAATGATTAAGAAAAAATAACAACTTTAGTATTTATAACTTGATTTAAGTTTAAAATTATTTTTATTAATTACTCGAGTAAACCTGCTCCTAGTTAAAAAAGATTAAAATAAAGATATGATATTTTTTTCTTTCAATTTTATGTTATAATTATAAAATAAAAATAAAAATAATTAATATATAAAAGTTATGGTAGATGGATCATGGGTATTAATTATTTGGATCATGGATCTTATCTACAGTTTACATTGTAAGTAAATTCATTATAAAAAATCATGTGATATTTACTTATATATCACTTAAATTAAACGGCACAAGTGGTGAATACCAAAATACCATATTTTGGTACTTATATTTGAAACTACTATATATTTGTAAATACTTCAAAAAAAAAAAAAATACTATGGTTTAGTATAAAACTCTCTACATAGATCTCAAAACTAGTAATAATAACATTTAACAAAACTATAAACTAGTAATAATAACATTTAACAAAACTACACACATCCGCATAAACATAAACATCTGCATCTGATTCATAACATTATATTTAAACCCTATATATCTATATAAGCATAAAACCATAATTAACAAGCAACATCATTCTAAAAGACGCAACACCATAAAAGCTTTTTATATAATAACTTAAACTCAATAAAAACTCTTTTATAGAGACCATGGCTCCTCTTGAAGCCACTTTCACTTCATTAGGATCCATATCAAGCTTTCCTTCATAATGACTTCGGAAACCACTCGTCGCTTTCCTACCCCTTAATAGATGTATATCTGATCGGCCATACATTCACCTCTCTACAAATCTTGGTTCTTCTACTTACTCCTCTATATACTTTCGGGATCTTTGTTTCTTTATGTAAAGAATCCGAGCCTTCCCCAACTGCTTCTTAATTGATTTGTGCAACGGGTATACCATTGGTTATCCATGTATCTTCGGTTCCTTCCTCCCACGTCCCCCATCTCCACTTCAGCCTAGGCCACCGAGCAACGCACCAATCCATAAAATGTCTCGATATATGAGCAGCAGCATGATCACGATGGATGAGAAAAGAAACATCTACCAAGTTTTTGCATTGGTCTAACACACAAGCAACCAAGGAGAAAGTCAATGCAGGGTCAACCCTCAACAGATACCCACGAAAGGTTGTCAATCCTAACCTCCCGTCCAAACAAACCCGGTCAAATGATTCATAAAGCACCTCAAATGACAACCAAGCGCTTGTCTTAAAACATACAGAAGTGACGGTAGGGAAATAAGTCAACATTTTCTTTAGGGTAAATTTAGAATCATCAACTGCTCCTACAGCCAAATCTCCCGAATTCAACGTTAGATTTTCTATAGTTTTTAAATGCGGAAACTTTTGAATTAAGGAACAAATATAAGAAGACTTGAGGGATAATGATTTCAGATTTTCAAAAGTTTTAACTGAGACTGCGCCCAAATGGTCAATGGCAAGATGTAAATCACTCAACAAAGGAGCTTCAATATAGAGTGCAACAACCTTTCTACACTCGAGGCTGAGTGTGGTGAGGTTGGGTGTGATTAGAATCAAACATGATTGTGCATCGGTTATGGTCCACTGAAAGGTTTTTAGGTGGAGAAGGTGGATTGTGGGTAGTTTAAGTCCTCTAACATCTATCAAGTTAAGAACTTGAAGATTAGGGAAGCTTTTGTTCAACTCGGTTAGGTTCTTGTCTTCTAATCGTATGAACTCCAGTGTCAAACTTGTTAGCATTGGCATTGGATTCATATTCTTGACAGAAAGCCATGCATGCTTCAGCTCTAATTCCAGCAAATTGTGACCTGAATCAACCAAAACAACCAAGTTAAAGCAAACTCAACTACTAACAATAGAGAAAATAACTAAAACGGAACAGCAATTTTATCCATTTTAATTTATCCCATCATGATTATTGCCAAAGGACATATCACTAGCAAATAGATCAATGGTTTATAATTAATTAGCAATTGATTAATAAACCATAATTTGATAAGTAACACCAGGTGAAATTAATTAAGAATCCTCGAAAGATACATGATTTCCGTCATAGGACATTAGATCAATGGCATAGATCTTATCATTTCACAAAATATATAGCAACAACATCACTAGCAAATATAGAAATGAACAATTTCAGCATATAATGAACTTACAGCATGCGGAGACGAGGGGTAAAACTTCTGATCGACGCCAACCTGAATGGACCCAAAAATCTGATATAGAAAGGGATTTCAATGTTCCTGAAACCCTAGGGAGCCACTCCTTGACGAAAGCCCCATCTGTGAGGTACATATCATCGCCATAATCTTCAACGTCAGCGTGAGACACGTCTAGGGGCAGATTCTCGGCGCCGATATGCACCGATTCGAGAGATCTTGAGTTGGATATAAGATGGAGGATTATTGTCTTGAGAGGGGAAGGTAATGAGGAAGAACTAGAAGAATCTGAACCCCTAGACCTTAATTCGATGTACCTTTTTAATGGGTACTGGAGATTGATCCATGGAAGGTCTGGAGCGACAGTATCAAAAGTCTTCCACGCTGCTCGGCAGCGCGCAACGTCCGCCGAGTCATCGAGTCGACTCAGTATTTGGAACACTAGAGTTGCAGGAAGGTTGTCCATGCAAGCGCCAAGCGGTGAATTAATGAAGTACAAAGGAGACTGGAGTTGATGGGAGTTGATGTAGATATTTATGCCTGTATAGTTTATGTTTACCCCTTCATAGTTTGTCTGGTGTTTATTATTGCCCCGTTAAGTACTACCATTTACATAAAAACACTCTTTAACTTTATTTTTTCTTCTTTTGTGATTTTAATTTTAAAAAGTTAAGATCCATTATTTTTTTGCCAAGATGGTTCAGCATTATACAATATTAAGTGTTTTGATATTTCCTTCTGTTGAAGTCTTTCTAAATTTATTTTTTGTTTTAAAAGTATCATAAAGTCAACTCGATGTATATACCTCAACGGTTAACAATCTTAAGTGTTTCGATATTTTACTTTCATGAAAGTTTTAGCAAATATGGTTTTTTTTTTTTTTTTTTTTTTTGTTTTCTAAAGAAATAATAAAGTCAAATCGATTCAGTTTTTTTAAAGATGTCAAACACACGTACCCTTTACCTTATTCATAAATCTATACATTTTGTTTCAGTAAGACTAGAATCCTCAAATTTTGAGGACACATTTTCGTCGACTTCTGATACCACTACGCTATAAACTCTTTGATAAAAGATATTTGATAATCTTTTATTATTTTTGTCAAGTATTTCGAACTTTTATTTTTATTCCATAAATCTAAGGATATGGACTAGTTTCATGCGACTAGGTTCTAAAGCCATTACCAAAAAGTAGGTTCCTATAAAAGAGCAATATGTCATTTCTTTACATTATGAATGTTTTTGTTATAACTAGATTGTAATGGATTATATCAAACTCACATGCCCATTAATGCATGCTATTATAAAAAACTTGGCATTGACGTTGACAAAAATATATGTCGTCACTGACGAAATATAGTTCTTGAAAGACGACAAATAAAACTATGGAAAATTTTGAATTTTTAACAAAAGTATATCGTCACTATAGGGTTCGCCATAAATTTACCATAAAAAACATTTAGTCGTTGAATTCAAACTAACATCAATGATAATCTGTCTCTAAAAGTTAATTTTTGTTATAACAATAATCAACTAAATAATTTTTTACAGAAATTACATTTTGATTGTCACAAGTTATCATTAGGTATCACTTGTACGAAACTAGTTAGTGGTGACATGTCATCAAAAAGGTTACGCTCGATCTAAATTAGGTTATATATTTGCGCTTGATCCCCATTATCTCACAAACGGAAACAAATCAAGTGTAACCCTCTACGGTGCATGATCTTTTCTTTGTGTAGTCTCATTTCTCTTTTTTGGTGTATGCCCCAATCTCTAATATGTACCCTTATGGTATCCTTTGTCCAACTATATGTATATCCTTATCTAGCATTAGTAGTAAAGATTCACTACTTGTGGGCGATAAGTTTTTATTGTTTCCATCTTGTTGTTATACATGATATAAGTCTTGATGTTCCTTTTAGGTTTTTCATTAAAATTTCGTATGTTTATATTAGTTTATAACTGAAAATTATTTTAGAGTAAAATAAATTAGAAATATAAGTGTTATGGATAATGTTGGATTATGAATAAATAAACAAAAAATAATAAGAATTGTTGTTATTATATATATATATATATATATATATATATATATATATATATATATATATATATATATATATATTGCGATTTTGTGTCAATTACATTTAAGTAAAAATAAATGTAAGCATGTTGTTATTTTTGTGTAAAATAGTTGTAATTTATTGGTTACTATCATATAACCATTTTTTTTTTTAAAACTTATGCATATATTTACCATATACATAATGTAACTTTAATAAAACAATTATAATTATGGACATGAGTGTCTCTATATTACGAAATCGTAACTCCGAGGATTTTTTGAATGGTGTTAAAGATTATTAAAGATCATGCTAATAGTTAGCATTGGTAACAGTCATTTAGGGATGCAACATTAGCCTATAATCAACGAGTGATAAATTCTTATGAAATAATATAATTTCATTAAAAACGATTTTGTTATGTATTCTGACACATTATTTATAGTTGTCTATAAATGTTATGTTTGTCTTTCTTTTATCACATGGTAAAATTGACAACATTCATTACATAACATATTGAGTGTGTAATATGATTATATTTTGAAAGAGTAATTGTTATAAGATCACAAGAATTTAAAATTCATATAGTAGTGTATTAGTTTAAAAGCATAGAAGAGCTACTATGATGGTACCTTTTGTCGTGAAGTTGTCATCTCCAACCTTCATTTTCTATATGACCATTAAAGTGTCCTAACATGGATATGCTATTAGTATGTGTTTAATGCGTGATACAGTAAATAATACACAATTTAGTCAAGATAGGCTCGGTAGATATAATTCCATTATGATTTCACCAAAAAGTAGAGTGGAATTGGTACGATACTAGTCGTTTTTTCACTAAAGTGTATACCGTACCAATTATAGTTGGTACAATAATTTTGCTATTACTATCGTACCGAATATAGTTAGTACCAATTTGTTTGGCGACATTGAGTTAATAAGCTAAAACAATAAAGGAAATTTGGATATGCCAACATAAGTTTAAAACATTAAACTTTACTAATAAGGTAAATGTTAATACCAAGGCTTGTCAATCATAAACATCAAACATAAGAACATTATATATATATATATATATATATATATATATATATATATATATATATACACATATATATTGAATTGGTTGGTATGGTACTACCGTGGTATTGAAAACTTTGTACGACTATCATACCATCATTACACAATTGGTATGTTACTATCAACCAAACATGTTGGTTACCAAACATTTGGTTAACAATTCTTGGTTCAGTTGGTAACATATTGGTTGGTTTTCCGTCGTACAAATTTGCCAACCCTACCTAAAAGGGAAGAGGCTTGATAGGCTAGATTACCATATGAATGAATTGATCTATTCGTTTCATATATATATATATATATATATATATATATATGTGTGTGTGTGTGTGTGTGTGTGTGTGTGTGTGTGTATGTGTGTGTGTAACACCCCATTTTTCTCTTTACAATGTAATCGGCTAGTCTTGTAAATAGACATTTTTGTTAGAGGACTATTTAGCATAAATAGCCTTGGCAAAATTCATAGTAATCGCAAAACCGAGATCATGCTTAGAGAGAACGTCTAAATTTGACTTCATAAGAGGAAAGTATGATTTTTAGAAGTTTCAACGCAGTAGTGTACGACATAGAAATGATAATAGAATTCGATTGACTGTTAGGAAAAACAATCTAAACAAGAGGTGAAGATCTCGTCAATATGATTTCATCGATATGAATATAGACGAAAATGGAATTCATGTGAGAGAGTTATGATTTTTATACGGGTTTTAACAGTCTAAGCCTATTAAAAGTATAGCTATAAAATAAAGTGAGAATTAACTGATAGAGTCTAAATGAAAGTTATGGATCTCGTCTATAGCTATGTGTAGATATAAAAAACATCGAAAACATATTAACTGATAAAGGACCGTGCTACCATCAATTTAAGTTTATACCAATTATAGTTAATGAGTTAGACATCTAATACAAAAGTCTCCCACTTGGATAAGTCTAATAACTATAACTGTCAATATAACTACCAAATTGACTAGAAAATTGTAGATAAACAAAAGCCATTGTCGGACTCCGAACCAGTTAGTTATACGTCTTAAGATAACTAATAAAATATTCCTCCGTTCTAAAAGATATCGTAAGGACATGAGACATAAAATAATCAATCTCATTGTCCAAGTTTTGTTTCCTGGTTTCCGATTTATGACGACTGATTCAGATTACCAATTAAACACATTAATTCAGTCCAGGCTTGGCCAAACACTTTAGATGTCGACATCAAACCATCGAGGGGCCTACATATATCGCTATTCCCGTTAGGGAAAAAGGAACGGATAAAATTCGACTTATATTTTTGCACTATTCACTCATCAAATCATGCACAACAATATGTTTTATAACATCAAGTTACTAATGCATTTGCATATTATCAATGTACAACCAACTCATAAAAACAACTCATATATCTCTATTTAAAGAATATAAGATATTACCATCTCAAAATTACTCTTGATAAAATCCATGAAGTAATTCTCTAAGCATGGGTTTATCAAATACTTAAAATCGCTATTTCCAAGTACTCGTGAACATTGCGCAAAACCATTGCTATGTCTAACCTCCATAGACAATCTAGAATTCAATTCTTGACATTATTAATTCGCTACTTACGTCTAAAAGTACGAGCGACTATAGAGTTTTGAATAATCAAATTATCCGGGAAGTAAAACATACTAAGTGAAACACAATAACAACCTAATTAAACATGGTCTCAAACTATTGAATATAAATACAAATCTTATTATTTAATAACCATATTAATTAGACTTTATTCATTGTATAATGTTTTAAGTAATCAACTAAACACTTGAATTAAACATCAATCATGTCGTGTTATAAACATGCATACTATGTCTCTCTATGGTTCTTCCTTTGTAAAAAGATCGATAAGATAATATTCCAGTGATGCTCATTTCACAATTTGTTACTACTAAATGTGATAGAGTTCAACCTTGCATGTAATATCCTTTTTGATGTCAACGCTTCAAATACACAGTGACCTTGCCAACGATATTACAAAATGTTGCATTAAAACGATTACACGGTAACAAAGTCTTAAATTCAAGACATACTCCTTGAACATCTTCCTTGCATTAAAGTTTCTGACTCGTATGTAGATTCTAATAATCAACTCCTATTTATGGAAACATTTCCATTTTCCCATACGACCATCAATTTTGATCAAGAATCATCACAATCAAAAACATTTTAGTATGGCCCTTCCAACCAATACTATACTTCCAAATATCCACAAGCAATCAATCATTTGGTACAACCTCAAATTGTTATTGACAGTTGTTTAGCTTTAGTTACATAAAGTTCTAGTCCTTTTTCCA